AAAGAATAATGATAAATGGAGTTTTTATATTTTACTTTTAAGATTGCCAGTCTTTAATAAGACAAAGCCTTAAGCATTATGTTATAATTTTGGTTCTAAAAACCATTATTTCAGTATGCAGAATGAGTATATTTCGTCTTCCTCTTTAGTTTTTTTCTTCCTATTTATTTTTATTTTGAAAAATTTCTACACCGTCTTTGAATTCTTTGTATGAATTTTTGTTTCTTAGAAGTTAATTTGTGTGAAATGAGATTCTTCAAAACAATGAAACCTCATAGCTCTGAGAAAAGGTTTTAGGCTTTTAAATTCTAAGCAAACCGTGACTGTGGCTGACTGACTACACATTTAATTATCCAGCTTCTCTTTCTTAACTACAGGCAGATTAACCTCATTGTGGATTGTCCTTGAGACCTTAGTCCTCAGGGATGGTTTCTGGTGCCCACTCCTGGAAGCCGCTGTTCCCTTTCTACCTTCTGACCAGAGCCCAAGGGCAGGCCTGGTCTCGGGGAAGCAGCAGCTTGCCGACCTGGGTCAGCTGCAAAGCCTGAGGGGTGTGGCCTCAGGGAAGCCCCGCCCCCAACCCTGCCCCAGAGCCGAGTCGCAGCTCCCAGGGATGCTCCTTCCCTGGGAGTGGCCCAGGAGAGGGACTCTGGCAGTGTTCTTCAGATTTGTGGCCACTGTTTCTCATTTGCTGGTTGACTGTTTTTATTTCTTAGGCTTTTGCTAGTTTTAGAAAATAGGGAAGCAGCCTGTGATTTGTGGATCAAAAGCAACATTTGAGCGATGATGCACAACAGTCCAGGAAAAGGGGCAGTGGACACTTGAGGCTGAGGATGGGAGTCGACATGGGCAGGGAGAGGGAGGTGCACTCTGCTTATCTGTGACTGTTGCTCACCTGAGTGTGGCTGATTGTGTACATCCAGCAGTTACAATTTTAAAAAATTTTACAGTTATTCTATATTTTTCTCACCCCCAGTAATTTCCTTCCAAATAAGTTCACATGTAATAAGTAGAAATACTGTATAGGAAAAAAGCATTAAAAATACTATTATAACTGCTTCATTTGCTGGGAATCATTAAAAGTAGTGTAAATTAGCTTTTTCCAGAAGGATCCTTTGTAGCAGTGTTCAGGAATGTAACCCCCAGCAAAATGTGGCTATATATTAGGGAAGCCAGTCTGGAGCAGAGGCCTGAAGGTCCCTGCTATGCAGCCGTGGCCACAGCTCACCGCACCAGCGCTGTGGAGCACCCGCACCTTTGATGGCAATGCAGAGTGGTAGCAGGCTCCATAGGCGTGACAAAACAGTATTAAAACTCAGCGTTTTGCATACTTTTAGCATTTAAAAATATTTTTGCTTTAGTGTGAGGATAGTAAGGATGGGCAAAGAGGCGATCAAAATAGCTATAGCTATGACATTCTAGAAAACAAAGTCGGGGCCGTATTTCTTTAAAAAGATAAGCCTCTAAAAATGCTTGGCTGAAAAAGTATAGTGTTAAAACAGGCAGTGATATTAATGAGAAAATGAAAGTATGTATCAGGAATAAAGTGATATTGCATAGGAGTATTGTATTTTTATGAATTTTATACCAGTTGTTTACATGTACTATATATGTTAAATAAAAATCATTAAAAATGAGGGAAGTGTTTTTCTTGGTTGTTATTTTCATTTCCACCTTGATTGTGATCAAGTTCGGCCTCATTTTGTAGTCAGATAGCCATGAACTGGTTTGAGTCAGATGGCAGTCCTGAGAAGAGAGGGGTAGGGATCATTGGTCTTGTTGTTGGTAGTAGTAGGTGCTGAGATTATCCAAACTTTTCCTGTGTTTATGGTAGAGTCACTTACATTCCTTTATCCTTTTCGTCAAGGGACACAGTAATTCAAACTATATATTGGGAATAATTAAAGAGTTGCTAAAAGCTGCTTTAATGTATTTAAAAAATACTTTGGTATCAACATTTTCTAAATTGTAGTTCAATGTTTTTACTTAATACAAATATCAACTTCTTGGTTCATTCTCTATGTAGGAAAGACATTTCAGCTCTGTTCATTCCTGTATAATTAATTTCTTAACAATAACACCTTGATTCTGACATATTTGGGGAATGAGGTGTTCTAATACAGTGGTTCTCAAAATTAGCAGGCTTCAGCAGCACCTGGAAGGCCTGTAGATTGCTGGGCCCCATCACAGGAATTTCTGATTCAGTTGGCCTATGGTGGGGCCCCAGAACTTGGATTTCTTAACAGTTCTCAGGTGGTGTCGATGCTGTTAGTCCAGGGACCATACTTGAGAGCCTCTGCTCTAATGGATGGGAACAGACTGGCTGGATGACTGGCCTCCAGGGGGCGCTCCATTCCTAACAGCACATCCCCAGAGCTGGTTGATGGACAATCTACCATGAGCCGAATTTTACCACGTACCGTGTTTGCCTGTTAGGGGGCGCTGCTTCAATGAAACTTGCAAGGAGCAAAGAACAGATTAGGTAATTTTTAATCGGAACACTGATATGAGTTATAGATTATTTACATATTTTGAAGCTGCAAACTGCACCTTGTTTCTTTTCAGTTCAGAGATGGAAAAGGAGTGAAAATCCTTGAAATAGAACTTCGTTTTGTAGGATTACTTTGTCTAGAAGATAATAGATAAATTCAGTGATGTGTGGGGATTGCAAAAATTTATTTTCCACTTTATTACTTTTGTTTTGGCACCAGAAATCCGAATCTTCTTCCTTTATTAGAGGTCAGCCAATAATCAGCGCTAGGTCACAGATCGCTTGCTTCTCTCTTCTTCCTCCTTTTTCTCCTGCTCCCAACTAGAAGTTTCTAATTTGAATCAATAAAATTGTCCTCAATGCAGAAAAAGAGGAGCTACTTTTAAACTTCATTACATTCCTGAATTGGTCTTTATTTCATAGCATTGTCTCAGGACGAATACATTTTACATTAGAAGTTGAAAAGGATATTAAGGTACAAAAAGGTCTTGAAAACTTCCCTTTTACATTTCCTCCCATGAGAGAGATTATACAATTCTGAATGAATATATAAGAGTTGAAGACTCGATTCGATTGTAGTGTAATTAAGAGACAGCTTTCTTTTTTTTTTGCAAAGAGATTAGGATAACATTGATACTGGCTCCACTTTCAAAGCAAGGTTTTCTATAGTTTTCTATACTCAATTATCTTTAACCCAAAACTCTAATTAAAGTATGCACAGTGTCATCAAAATGACTTTCAAATAAATGGTAGCACTACATGGTATTCTGTTTCGTAGGCATGTTCTTTTTAATGCGGCATAATATCATTTCGTTGATTTTTTTAAGTACCTGGTGGGCTTTTTTCCTGTAGGCAAATTTAGTATCTTGGCGGGGGGAGTTGACTTTAGCAAACTTCAGCTCGTGTGGTTGTTATGCTGATTACACTGACACCCTTAGTCCTTATGCATTTCTGAAAAACAGAAATGAAAATAAGAAATGACCATTGCTAAGTAGATTTGGCATCATATCATGAAAACTGGGAAAGAAAGATGCCTGCAGGCCACTTCTGGCTCTGCCCCCTGCTGCTGATATCCTGCTCTTTGGCCAAGCTCCTCAGGTCTTTACTCTGGTATCCTATCCGCTTAGTGACCAGACTTCAGGTTCAGTGGCCTTCCTCTTGCTCTGGAAAATTCTCTTCCCAGAAGAGTACAGTTTGGTAATTCCTCGAGCCCTTTACATGGGTAACGAATTTGACTTTTTTGAACAAAGACTTCTATGGCAGTAATTCTTAAAC